CTGTTTCTGTTTCCTATTAGATGAAGCAAAGGGGTTGTTTGAGATTTTTTATTCTTTTAGTCCTTGAGTCTTTCACCTATAGTCTAAGAATGAAAATAGAGCCATCCAGAGATTCTGGCAGTGCCACACCCTTCCAGCAGCCTTGTATACCTTCTGACACAGGGCAGCAGAGTAGGAAGCTATTTTCAGACCAGGAAGGAGGGCCACTGCCATGGTCAGGAGACTGGAGTTCTAGGCCTCTCAGAAGCACCCTAAGATCCCTCTAAGTAATTCTGAAATCCATAGAAACAAGTCTTTTTATTTAAGAATAAAACCAAACATTTCCCAGACTGTCTGGCATCCCTGGCTTGAAAGGGCAGCAAAAGACAGGTGGTGAGGCTCAGTGAGATAGTCCATCCTTGGAGCTGGGTGTCAGTGGCACCCAGGCCTGTCCTCATGGACTGCTTTACAGCTTTGCAACAGGCAGGGCCTGATTACTTCTTCCCCCGGATGAAGGGCAACTTTGGCAGCAGGGAGCAGGATCTGGGAGGCAGGGGCCCCATCATGGTTTTCTGGTTTCCTGCCTGCCTCTTTACAGGGCATTCTCTGCAGCTGTCAACACCTGTGGGTCCCACCCAGCCCTGGCAGCCTTTCAGGAAGGGCTGGGTGGAGAATGAGGCCATTCTTGTTTATCTGCAGTGTGACAGGCCCCGGGAATCCTGGAGAAGGAGGGTGCTGCTAAGGAAACCTTGGTCAACATCACCTAAAAGTATTTGTGCAGCAAGTCTGCACAGGGGCAGGGTGCTGGCTGGATAATCTTGTCCACGTCACTTGAATTCTTTGGTTCTTGGTTCCCTTTTCTGTAAAATAGAGACAATTATTAAGGACTGATAGGAGGACTTATGGTGCCAGGCATGTGATGGTGCTTGATGAACTTAAGTGCAATGAAGATAGACTCTTTCCAAGGGAGGGGAAGTGACTGGTCTCCCAGTGAATTCAGGCAGGAGCCAGAACTCAGGTCCAGGTTTCACTCTGACCTTACCCTAGTTGCCGAGTAGTTCCTTCTAGAAATTGGGGTGTGCTCAGTCACTTCATCAGGGTTAGGAGGGGCTGGTTCTGCACCCATCCCAGGAAGCCCACGGTATCACGTTGAGCCAGCGCCCAGGGACTCCTGGAGTAAGAATGTTAAGGCTGGGGAGTCTGATTCTAACAGAATGGAGAAAGAAAGGCCTGGCTTGTCTGTGTATGTGTAGCTGATAAGGACTGAGCTCTTGCTGGGTGTCAGGCACTGTGCTAGGCTCTCTGGGGAGGAAGAAATAACAAGACACAACAGTGAATGAGGCAGCTATTCCCCCTCTCTTGTGGCTCAATGGGGACGACACTTGTGCAAAGATGGTTCAAGTTCACACACTTGACCAGGCTGTGAAGGAGGGATGGGAGGGAGCCCCAGTCCAGAGGTACAGGAGAGGCCTCCACAGGAAGGAATGTTTTGGCAAAGCCCTGAAGAAGTGAAGGAGCTAGTCAAACAGAGGGAGGTATGGTGGTATGGGGTAGGGGACAAGGCAGGCCAGAGGAAAGGGATTCTGAGGTACTGTGATGTTTGTAAGTCTGGCAAAAAGTGCAGCAGGAGGTGGGTGGTCAGTGAGAATTGGTGTGAGTAGACCAGACCGGGCCAGGTGGTTCAGTAGGGGGTGGTGAGGAAGCATGGCAGCCCCTTCCAGATTTGAACTGAGAAGGTACGACATAGAGTGAGTGTGGCCAGTTGGGACCAAGAGAGGTTTCGGGGTGGCTGGCTTTTGATGGAAGAGAACATGGTGGTGGAATGTGCCAGAAGAAGGAGGCTGTGAGGCTGCTGGAGGAGGGCTGGATCAGGTGGGGCCTTTTGCAGGCAAGAGGGCTGCCTGATTCTGGCTGTGGGGGGTTGACCTCAGATAAGAGGAAGGCCCAGCCCACAATGAACGGCTGCCCATTGCCTATCCCTGGCTTGGGCCCTTTGGGAGCCACAAACCACACAAACTCTGGTCGTGGCCTTCAAGCAGCAGAGAAGACAATGGCCTTGGGCCATCCAGCTCGAACTGTGCTCTTCAAGTCCCAGGGCCCCACTGGCCATCCATCAGCATCTCCGTGATGGAGATGTGCAGGCCACCTCCTCTCCAGCTCACGTTTGCTCCTGGTTCCCTGCCCAGAGACCTCTGCTTGGTGGGCTGAGTGTGGGGGCCATCTCTCTATGTAGACAACTCCTAGGACCTCACACGGTCCTCATTTCCACGCTCGTGAGTGTTCATCATCCTCTCAATCTTCATCAACCCTCCTGAGTCCCTTGGATCTCCAGCTGTGTTCCAGATGCTTCAAATTCTTCTCAGGGACTCCCCTTACTGGGCAGTTAAGAGCCAGGGTCTTGTAGGGCTTTCCTCCCAGCCCTCCAGTGGTACTGCTTGAGCTCACCAACTTTGTTTCTCCCTTATTGTGATTCCTGCCCCAGCCAGATTGTCACTGGTAGCCATTGTGGAGATGGAGCCAGTGCCTGCTTCTAAGTTGGCTTGAGCACACAGTGAAGCCCAAATACCAAGTAGCCATGGCCACGGGTCTGTATGAAGCAGACCTCAAGCCCGCACCATAGCAGTGGGATGAAGAGGAGTGTGAAGGATGCTTCTTGATGGCAGGGGAGGGGAGGGATTGTCATGGACCCGCCGAGCAGGGCTGAGTGGAAGGTGGTGTTCAGGTGGCGATAGAACCTCCAATGTGAAAAGACCCAAGCCATTCTTCTTTCTTCTCCAGGCTGGGAAAAGGGCACCCCATCTTGGACCTTGTCCCAGGGGACAGAGGGACATGGGAATTAAAATTTGGGTATAGGTAACTTGTTTGCTCAGAGGTGAACTGCTGTCATGGGGAGAGAGACACCCCATGTTTTCCCACAGGGTGCTCTTCATATGAGCAGAGTCATTTCTTTCCAGCACTCACCATGGCCTCATTTCCTCCCACTTGATCCCAAGATGGCACCTTGCCATGGATGAGAGCCCCAGCCTGAGGTCCTGCTGGTAGGGCCTATAAAGTGGAGAAAGGCAGTTTTAGACAAACAACTTGAAGGCATCAGTTGACCAAAAGTGAGGTGACCCAAAAGAACAGGATCCTGCCGTACTCCTGAAGAGTGGTGTGTGTGTGTGTGTGTGTGTGTGTGTGTGTGTGTGTGTGTGTGTCTCCATTCTGGAAGACCACACATGGATTAATTAAGCTTACTGTGGAGGAAGAAATGCGGAGTGGACATTGGTGCCTGCTTCTGAGTTGGTTTGAACCCAGAGAGAAGCCCAAATACAATAGAATAGGAATGAGAGTTGGTGAGTGAGTATGAGAGAGTGAGTGTGAAAGTGTGTGTTACAGTGTGAGCACATGTGTCAGTGTGTGTGTGTGTGTTGTATGAGTGTGAATGTCAGGTGTATGTGGGTGTGTGGATGTGTTTGAGGATATGAGACTGAGTGTAAGAGTGAGTAGTGGAATGTATGTGTGTGTCAGCATGTAAGTGTGAGTTGGTGTGTGGCAGTTTGGGAGCATGTGTGAGTGTGAGTGTGTGTGACCATGAGCATTCATGAGTGTGGGGGATTGGGTGTGGGGTGAGTGTTTCAGTGCATGTGTGGGGGCTGATGAGAGTGTTTGAGTGTGAGAGTGGGGAGGTGGATGTGTCAGTGTGTGTGAGTATGTGTGGGTCCTTGTCTGTATGTGACCGTTCAGCCACTGCCTGCCCACCGCCTCTCTTAGACTCCCCTCTTTCAAGTCCCTCCTTGTGGCGTCTTCTCAGTCATAAGCTCATGACCCCAACAGGGCAGGATTGAGTCCCAGCTCCTGTCACTTCCTCAACATCTCCCAAGCACCCCTGCCCCTCAGTCCCAAAGCTTTGGTGCCAAACATGCCAGGCAGGGGCATGTGGTCTAGGATGAGTGGGCAGGCATCTGGCTGACTGTGGGAGGCCTGGGCAGCAGGCCGAGAGGCCCCCAAGGATCTCAGGCTATCAGACCCCAGGCCTGATGAATCAGAAAGCTCTCCCTGGAATTAGACGAGGCCTTCCTCCCAGAGTCCCATCAACTAGGCAGCTTCCCCTACCACATGGTGGGGAGACTTGCACACTATAGCATTAGACCTACAGGGCCTTTTGACGAGGAGCCTCTTGAGTGAGCCTCAGTGGGCTCAGCGGGTGCACCAGCCTCCCTGCCACCAGAGGCTCCTGAAAGCTTTGGCACCTCCCTGGGACACCAGATGATCCTGAAAGCCATGTGAGAGCCAGGGAGCTAGAACCTAAGTCCTGAGAACTTGTAGCTCAGCTGTGATGGGTCGGGGAGAGAGCACATGGCTGGGGACTGGGCTCCTGGCTTCCGCACTCTGAGGACAGGAAAAGATGGCCAGCCCCATGCCTCTCCTCACGGGAGTGTCAGGGGGCTTTCTGGTGAACTGCTGTAGGCTTGCTGTGGCTCATGGAGGGGGACAGACTCTGGGGCAGACAGGTTCAAGTCCTAGTTCTGCCCACTTCTGGCTCTGGCTGTGGGGCAAGTCTCCTGTCTTCTGGAACTCAGGCTCTTAAAGGCCTTCCTGGTGATTTTGAGTTAAGTCAGAGAAGCACCCAGCAAGCGTGAGCACTTGGGCAGTGGCAGCTGCTGTGGTTGTTACCATTTTATTCTCTTGGTTATCTGACGTCTGGTGGCCCAGAGTGGCTACTCTTTGTGGGCAGATGCTGGTGCCAAGGCCACCTGGGACCTGTGGCTTCACGTCTTACAGGAAGCACCACAGTGTGCTATCAGTGGAGGGAGAGGAAGGGGCAGCCCCACCTGTCTGAGAGGCAGGGCAGGTGCAGAGGTCTGCAGTGGGTCCCCAGGGCAGCTCGCCCCAGCCACCGTGGCTCTGTCTGGTTCTGCAGCCTCCATTCCCTGTGCCCTACTGCCTGGACATAGCTAGGAAGCGCGTGCATCTTCTGAGGTGGGGACCTGCCTCTTCTCCTCCTGTTTTTCTTTTACCATGACGCCTGTTGCTCATAGGTACAAATCAAACGAAGAGTATGTATATGTGCGAGGCCGCGGCCGAGGGAAATATGTTTGTGAGGAGTGTGGAATTCGCTGCAAGAAGCCCAGCATGCTGAAGAAACACATCCGCACCCACACTGACGTCCGGCCCTATGTGTGCAAGCACTGTCACTTTGCTTTTAAAACCAAAGGTAAGAGACAGTCGGCTGGGGCACTGTCCCTGCCCACTGTAGGGAGCTCCCCTCTGGGAGCCCCAGCACAGAGCTTAGGGGCCCAGTCCTCTCTGCCTGAGGCCTGGACACCCCCCCCACTTTCCCAGGGGCAGAGCAGCTGGCTTCAGACTGGGCTGAGGCACCCCATGGCTGCCCAACCCGTCCTCTTGGATCCTGCCCAGCCCCCTACCTGCACGCTTGCCCCACTGGGCTCCGGTGGCACCCTGTGCACAGCACTTGGTTTTGATTGTATCTCATCACTGCCTCCCTCCAGTTGCATGTCTCCTGAGCCCTTTATCCACCAATCTGATGGGCTCCTGCATCGACAGTTGTCACTTCACTCTTGCATTTGGAAATCCATTCCACTTGAGCCACCAAACACACTCACATCGTCACGTCTCATGCCAGGGTCCGCCCCCCTCCACCACCCTGCCACTCAGACCACGCTCCTGCTCCGCTGGGCTTCTCTGCGGCTGTCAGCTCAGGGCCCAGCTCTCCCACTCAGCCTGTCATTCCAGGCCCCAGCCACACCCAAGCAGGTCAGCACAGGGTCTGGCGGTCGCCCATGAAAGGAAGGACAGGCCGTGGAGGGTATGCATCCCAGAGAGCTGTGAAAGATGGTGGCAGCCTCGTCTGCTGCAGCCACCAGGACCCTGGTGCGGACAAGTGGGGCCGAGTCCATGGGACTTGGGTTGAATCCTCCTCATTCTGTGGCCCCTCCTGCCACCACTGGTGGCTCAGCTGGTGACCTAGCAGGCCAAGATGCCTCAGAGGGGGGCCTGGGCTCTCCTGGAGGCTTGGACCTCCATGCTTTGCAGGTTCCTGGGTCAGGGTTTGTGCAGAAGGGCCTTCCCCTGTGAGTGAGTTGGGGCCTCCAGGCCAGCCTCTATAGGAGCCACGTTGTTTTCAGTGGATGGAACTCGAGTGCATTGGGCTTTGCCGCTTGTCGACTTTCCTTCTTGGATAAAGCCGTTACAGCGAGAGAGGCTGGACGCAGCTTTGAAGAGGCCCCTGTAGACCTCAGCCTTCCTCCCTCCTCCTCCGCCTCTTGCTGCCTGACCCCTCCATTCTCACTGTTTTTGGTCAGGGAGCAGTTGCCACAGCCCGGGCCCCTGGCTAGTTCCCATTCACAACCCCCTGCCTCTGTCTTTTCACCATCATGCTGGAGTAGAGCTCAGATTTCCCACCAGGCATTTGGTCTGAATGACGACGTCTGTCCTCCTTGCCCTGATCCTTTTCTCTCTTGGCGTCTCGTAAACAATGTTCCAGGACACTGCGCCTGGGAGGGCATCTGGAGCCTGCACACTGCTCGGCCTGGCACACCTCAGCCCTGCACATGGACTCTGTTTGCCACCCCCCCCCACTCTAGCCCCTTCCTCCAGGTGTGGGCAGCTAGTTGGGACTTTATGGGAGAGCGATGAGAATAAGTGACTAACAGAATAACAGTCTTTAAGTCAACACTAAAGTGCTCTTGTCCAAGTCCCTCTTGACAGTGGAAAAAGTGGGTCCCAAGAAATGAAGGTGACTGTTAACACAAGAGCTGTAACTAGAACCCAGGCCCCTGTTTTGGGGCCATCACCCCCATTGTCTTCCTCTCCATAGCAGTCCCCCTCCCTTCTCTGGAAGTGGCAAAAGGCTCCAGTAAGGTGGCCTGGGATGGGTCACATCTGCTGTCCCTGTTCCACATGTGACCCGGTGCCACAACATCCCATGAGGCCAGAAAACCCATCTAGCTGAGCTCCTGGTCTCCCTTAGGGGTCCCTATTCAATCCCCTCTGCTTTTTTGGAGATAAAAAGGAGGCCTGGTCCTTTTTTGCTTGGTCTGAGAGCAGCCTGAGTCTCTGGCAGGAACACCCCATGGCTGCACGGGAAGGCAACCAGCCTCTCTCCAGTCCCTTCCTGGGTTCTTCTGAGCCAGCACAGCACAAGCCCTGGTGGGTCCTGCGTGCATATCCTGAGCAGAAGGGCTGCAGACCCTGCACTGCACTGGGCGTGGAGCAAGTGGGCTTTCCCACACTGCCCTGCAGGCCAGACCCTGGGGGCTTTGTTCTTAGTGATCAGGTAGTGTGCCAATCTCTTCCTCAAATGCTCATAGAGGCTTCTGGAAGAAAACTCCTAGAATCAAAGTAGTGCTCAAATCTGAAATGGTTGAATCTCAAACTCCGTGACTACAGAGAGGGATCGGTTGGGGGCTGGTTTCTTGGCAGGTTGAAGCTGAGAAAGCTCGCTCTGCTCACAGGGGTGTGGGAGGAAGGGGCAGGACACTGGGACTCCTGCATTTGCTGGGCCTTATGTCTTCCTGAAGTGATGCGCCCTTCAGCCATCAGCTCCTGGCCCTGTCAGGCTGCCTCCGTCTCCGCCTGTCCCTCTCACCCCCACCTCTGGCCCAGGCGGCTACCTCAGAGCTGAGGCTGGGCCTGGCAGTCCTTGGGCCTCCGTCACCACCGCCTGGCTCCTCCGGGCCAGGGGAGCCCTTCCTGTCCGTCTCTGTCTGCCTGTCTGTGTCTTCGTCTCTGTGTTAGACGTTGTGGCAGCCGCTCCAGCCTTCGGGTACTAGCTGAGGCGTGTCAGTGGGTGGGGCCAGGAAAAGGCCCCCCTGGAGGTAATTGTGGAGGTCTGGGGGTTCTACTTCCTCTTCTCAGAGGTTCCTAAAGGCCAGCATGTGCCAGATCCAGGCCCTTTGTCAATCGCCTCAGGGAATAGAAATGGCAGGAGCAAGCAGGCCTCAGACACAGCAGGCCACAAGGGTGGCGGGCAGAAGGTTGGTCAAAACCGAACAAGCAGACAAGGGTCAGTGGCTGATACTGTCAAGGGAAATGCCGCCTCTTTCAGATTCCCATCATTTTCCATCTGCTGCCTTTCCTCCTCATTCCAGGACTGTCGGCCTTCTGGGGGGTGGGGTGGGAAAGGGGAAAGCTGGGACAGATGTGGGGAGCTATGGACTCTGCTTGACAAGCCATGGTTCCCCCACCTTGACAGGCATCCAGATAGAAACAGACCTCTGAGGCTATTTGGTCACCTCCCTCAAGTCACAAGGAAAGAGGTCCAGGGAGGGGAAGTGGGAGAGGTACCGGGAGCACTTGGGACTGCTCATCCATCGTCACCCTGTAACCCACAGAGCCTATCCAGACAGTGACCTCAGCCTCCCTGGCTCCTCCCTGCAAACTCCAGAGGTGGGGGCAGAGGAGAGGCAGGTCTGGAGGCTCGCTGCTGTCATCCCTTGGGAACCTCTAAGCCTAGAGTGAATGGAAAGTCATGTGCATCACAAACCTCATCTCAGCATCTCTCTCCTCCACACCCTCCATGACTCAGTGTGGCGGAGTCCCTGGGTGCTCAATCAAGGGTAATTGTCATGGGGGAAGGGACATGGCGTGGTGGGCATCTGCTCTCTGCCAGGCATTTCTACAGCTTTATCTCATCAACTTCTCCTAACATCCCCAAGAGGTAGGTATGACAACAGTTGCTAGAACTGGGGCTTACAGATGAAGAAACCCCGAGAGTACACAGCCAGCAAGTGCAGAGCCCAAACTCAAACCCAAGGGCCAAGACCATCCAGCCCCTCAACCACCCTGGGTCCACTCCGCCAGTGTGGACCAAGCAAGCCCCCGAGACCTGGTTCTAGAGGGGGCTAACTAGCAGGGTGGCCTGGGCCTGTTGGTTCACCACATTGGTCAACAGGTACCCCCCCACCCTAGGCATCCCAGCAGCTGAGATAGCTGATGGCATCATCAGCACCTGGGCCCAGAGTTAGACCAGAAGGAGGGAAAAACTTGGGTCTGGAGGGGGGTGGATTACAAGGTCTGTGAGGCTCCTTCCTACACTTTGCTTCTGTGTTGGGAAGGGCATTTCCACTTGTGGGCACTGCACACATCGTGTGCTCGGCACCTAACTTGGTTGAACAGAGACCCAGACCTTCCAGGCTGAAATGTACAATAATGTCGGAGCCAGAACGAGAAGTATTCATGGTCATCTGTGATCTGAGGTTGTCAGGGAACCGGGGGCTGGTTCCAGAACTTCAGGGGGTAGTTAGTGTCTCTGGCCCAAGGGAGACCCCAGGTGCCTTTTACCACCTCTTGTCCTGCAGGCTTTGCCTGCTCACACCAGTGAGGGCAGATGCAAAGGAACTGTTGAGGTCCCTCTGGCCCTAGGACGACTCTGGAAGTTTTGGCTATGTGCCACCTTTGCCAGGAGAAGATCCAGGTGCTTGTGCAGTTATAGGAGGAAAAGCTGAGTTGGAGAAGATGCAACCTAAGACTCATGAGAGGGAAGAAGAAAAACAGCTCCTCTTCCAGCCCCACTGCTGCTGGCCGGCCCTCCTCGTGAGCCCCAGCCTACAGTTCCCCTTACCCTTTCAGTAAAACCCTAAAGAAGTCTCCTTAAAACTCTCCAAATGATTCACAGACACCCTCTGACCCATCTCTCTCGCCTCACCTCGCCATCATCCCTCTGTCCTCCCAAGCATCCATTTCTCCATCCTCTCGCCTAACAGTTTGCCTTCCTGTCCATTTATCTTGCCACTTGTTTTCTCGCACCGCCTCTCGCACGCTCCCACTTGCCCTCATGCCATTCTTCGGCCTACCTGTCCATAGTGTCTACGCTCTCGCCTGCCCGCCGGCCCATGTGTTGATAGGCGCGTGCGTCCCGCCAACCAGCCTTTTCCCTTCTGCCCATGTCTCCAGCCTCCTCTCTAGGTCTCCACCCTCCTAACTTTGCTGATGCATTTCCATGTCTCTTTCCGTTTACTATTATCATCTACTCATCCGTCCTCACCTTTCTGTCCATCTGCGTCTCATCCAGGATCCCACTCCTCAGTCCATCATCCTGTTCTTCCTTCACTCCATATTTTTCCCATCCACTTACCCACCCATGCATCCGTCTATCCACCCATCATCCACCCATCCCCTGCGCATATATTCTAGGTGTCCATTCTTCTTTCTTCCATCCTCCCAAACTTACCAATTAATCATAGTAGTGAGCCAGAGCACCTCAGAGAATTTGTAATTTATATGTGGACAGCCATCTAGAAATACAGCAATCTGCAGAGCAACCGTGAGCATGTTTGGAGGTGGCTGCTGAGCCCAAAAGAACATCCCGAGGCCGCTGACCCGCATCCTCCTGGGGCAGACTGGGGTGCTGTACCCCTCCTTCACAGCGCCCGTCTGCCTGTGAAGTGCTGTGTGCTCATGGGGGAAACGAAGGTTTTGCTACTTTTGTCCCGGCTCCACAGAGGGGCAGGGCCTGCACCTCGGCCTCGGGGCTGGTCTGACCACTGGGCTGTCAGTTACTCCTGAGGACCTTGGAGGCATGGAGCCTGGCAGAACCTTCTCTGCACGCACCCTACTGTGTCTGCACTGCATGGTGACCTGGGGAAAAAGCCCAGGAAGGGGACATGAGTTCTCGTGAAGTCCAGGCTTGGGCTTGTGGCTCCCGGGCTCTGTCTAGCAGACTTTCCTACACCTTCTGCTCTCTCTCCACTTCTAATGTAACTTTGGTTCCTCTTCCCAAACCCTAAGATTCTTTCCTGTGGGCTGCCCTAGAAGTTTCCTCAGCCAGAAAGGAGACCTCAGAGCTCCCCACCATGTCGGCTAATGGGAGCCTTTGTACTCCCAGTGTTTGAGCTGACCAGTAGTCCTGCTTGGTGAATGTCACGCACTCAAGTAAACCCAAAAGCAGGAAAAACCTATTGCACAGAAATTATCTTTTAATTTCTTGCTTTTTTTTTTAACCAGCATCTCACCTCATTCTACCGCTGGTCCCCTCATAGCCCCGTGCCCCCAACCTGTCTCCCAGGCACAGCCTTGAATGACATCCATGGCTCTATTCCAGCCTGAGAACCTGGGCAGAGGGAGGCCCCAGGCCTGCCCAGCCCCTGCAGCCGGCCAGGTCTCAACGGATCTGGAAAATCATGACCTGCAGCCAGGCACTGCCTCTGCGTGCTCCAGGCCTGCCCCCGGCCCTTCAGCCGAGCCTGAGTCAGTTCTCATTTCCTTCCAGGGAATCTGACTAAGCACATGAAGTCGAAGGCCCATAGCAAAAAGTGCCAAGAGACGGGGGTGCTGGAGGAGCTGGAAGCCCAAGAAGGTAATGGACTGCTGACGCTAACTCTCCCAGCCTCCTCCCTGCCTCCCTTCCCCCTCCACTTGCTCCTCCACTCTCCCCTCTTCCATTTGTCCCCTCCCCCTGCTCCCTCTCCTCTCCTGTCCTTGTCCTCCAGGTCTCCCAGTACTGGGAAACAGAGGTTAAGGTCACAGAGGGATCACCCCCCACCCTGCTAACACCCCTGTGCACTACACAGCTGTTGCGATTTGGCATCCCAACCCACCGTGCAAGTTGCCCACTGGCGCCCCTGGATGCTCAGTGAATGTACAATGAATAGACTAATACATGAGCAATTACGTCAACATCGATGGATCACCCACGATGTGTCAGGCAGGTTCTGAGCACGTGCCTGAGCAGATCTCACAAAGACACAGGCACATGCACTCCACAGCCACATCACACCTGCAGGCTCTGGCCTGGGCCTGACACCAGGGCCTTTTAGAGCTGCAAGGCTCTCAAGAGAGCCAGAGTCAGCATTCCCAGGCCCCCTTGTGGCCCCACCTCCTCCTACCTCCCCGCATTGTGCCCAGGTTGTTGTTCTCCATCCACAGCTAGAGGCCTGAGAAGACAGGTCAGAGGAGAAGGTGAGTCAAAGGTGGTGGCCTGCTCGGCACTGCCCCACTCAGCACCCAGAGAGGAGGCCTGAGGGGTTTTGGGGCACAGATAGAGGGCCAGGCCCCCAGCAGGGGGAGGCCTGCACCAGGCAAGCCTTTGACCAGATCCCCTAAAATCAGAGTCAGGATTAAAAAGGGTGTATATGTGTCTGTCTGTCTGTCCCTCTGCCATGTTCTACTTTTTTTTTTTTCCTTATTTGAAGATGTATTTACAGTCTTACAAAAGAGTTAGGTCATGGGTCCTTTTATTCCATTAAACCAACTTTATTGAACAGAACACAAAGTACTTGGGGCTCTTTCCCCAAAACAAGGATGTGGAGTGACCATGCTTATCATAGCAAGAACATCAAGCCATTTATAGATGCTATTGCACTGAATCCTCATCATGGGGAGAGACTCATATGACTCTCATTTGAAGTTGAGGAAGGTAAAGCTAAAGCTGTGGCCCAGGGTGACACAGAAACCCTGGCTCACCCACCCCGATGCCTGGTGGACTGGTCAGGGCACCAAAGCCAAGAGCCAGGGGGTGGGAGGATGGGGGGGTCAGCAAGTTGCAACTGACCCCACAGCAGGTATCCACTAAGGGACCCAGAGCTGGTCCCTGCCCCTCTCCCAGCCTCAGTTTCCCAATGAGCAAAAAGGAATGGCTGCCCAACCTAGGATGGAGTCAGTGCATTCCTTCCAGGAATAACTCCCCCACGTGCCACCCTGTTCCAGGCGTTCTGGGTGCTGGAAATTCATTCCTGAACTCAGGAAGCCCTCATCCTAGAGGGGAACTAGGCGTTGAGAAAATGTGGATGGACAGGGACAGGGTATGAAGCCAGCAATGCAAGGCCAGAGAACCAAGCGAGGGCTGAGAAGGTGGTGTGAGGGTCTCAGTTAAGGGGTCAGGAAGCCAGGCAGAGTTTGGGGATGGGCTTTCCTGGCAGGGGAAGGTGAGGTCAGAGAGAACTGCAGCAGGGCTGTTGGACCAGGAGGGCTGAGTGGAGATGGGGGAAGGGGTCCAATTCTGGATAAATTCTAGAGAAACAGCCTGCAGGCTTTGCTGACACACGGTGGGGAGAAAAGGGGATGCTGAAAAAAGAGAAACCAAGGATGACTCCGAGGCTCATGGCCTAAATTGGACGGTAGAATTGTCAGTTCCACGAGGAAGATGCAGACAGGAGCCAAGCACAGCCTAGAAGGAAAGACTGCCCCCTGGTGGCCAGCTGGCGCTGCAGCCCTGCCCAGGTAGTGAGGTTGAGCAGCAGCGCCACCTTGTGGCCAAATCACTTAGTGTGACGCACGGTTACTGTCCCGTGCAGCCCCAGACCTGGCTGGCTTTGTGGTGCCCTGGTAGTGATCCCAGCAGTGGCCCTCAGCGCCAAGAAGAGCCTTGAGTTTGGACTGCCCGGATACAGGCATCCCATAGAACCCTGCAGGAGCCCAGAAGTAAGGGGTCTGGCAAAACCTGCATGGGAGAGGGAACCCTCAACTCCCATCACTTCCACATCAGTGAAAAGGGTCTTTAAGAGGCCTCCCTGCAGGATATCTGGAGATGCTGGTCCTGACTTTCTCCCTAATATCACTGCCTCTGACCTAAAATGCTTGCAGTGCTACAAGCCTGCTAAGATTTTTGGGTCCTTGAGATGGTAACAGCTGAGGCTTAGTGGGTACTTACTCTGTGTCAGGCTTCACAGTCCCCCCAACAGCTTCACCAGGTGTTTTTTTTATTACTCTCACACTCATTTACAGATAAGGAAACTGAAAACAGAAAGTACATTATCCAGCACCACGTAGCACTTAACCCTTATGCCACCAGGAAGGCCCAGGTAGCGAGGAAGGGATGAGGAATGGAGCTGGGATTCCAGCCCAGACCATTTCTGGCTTCTCAGTGTGTAGAAAGTATTTTTAAACTGGCAGTATCATAATACAGGGTTGTGAACCTGAGTCCTGACGCAGCCACTACGCCTGAGTGATCTTGGGGAACACTTACCCCATCTGGACCTGGATCGCCCCTCATGTAAATGAGGGATAAGGCTAGGAGAATTCCTGGGGTCCCCTAAAGTTCTATGCAGGGAAATAAATGCCTGGAGCAAAAATGCATTGTGCTTTGCACCCCAGGTCCCCTCCCCACCCAACCCCCAGTCACCTCATCTCTCATTACCTGCTTCCATGGCCAGGGGACCCTGCCCTTAGCTCATGGCCCTCCCTTTTCCTGCCATCCCCAGCTCCACCAGTGGTGTTTGACATACAGCCTCTGGACGTACATGCCCGCTGTCCATTCCCTGCATCTTACTGTTGCCTGTGGAGCTATTTTGTAGGTGCTGGCTTTCCGGCCCCTTGGCAGGTCAGCACGGCGGGGTTTGGAAGCCTGCTTGCACAGTGGCCTAGTCAGCTTATGGGTCCCGCTCTCTTGGTCAGTGGTGGGATGAGTGCTGGCGTGTCTGAGTGAGCTGGTGGGCTGGCTCAGCCCTCTGTTACCAGCACTCACTCTGTAGGCCAGAAACACAGGCTCATCACACTCTAGCCTACCTGTGAGCCTGGAGGACCCCGTCCTGCAGGAGTCTGCCAGGGGGCCAGACTTAGCAGAGATTCCTGTTGCTGCCCATTTCAGATGTACCCAAAGTGTGAAAGGCGACCCAGAGGCTTGGGGCTGTTCCATGAGAAGCTACACTAGGTGACTAATCTGGCACAGCCCCACTCGCCCTGGCTGGGAGTTGCCTGGACTTTGCAGAGGCCCAGCTCTTTTGGACAAGAGCAGCTGGATGAGGCCTGTTCTATAGCCCGAGGCCAGCTTAGCCAAAACTCCACGGAGAGCTGGGCCTGTCACCTGCCAGATGCCGTCATACCAGCCAGTGGCCTCCTGGCCACATCAACAGATGTATTTCAGGCTGACTGCAGCTCAGGGCTACTGTCTCGGCCAGCGTGACTGAAATAGCAGATTTCATGGATGTATTAAGAGTGACCATGATTACGTGAGCCCTTGCTATATGCTGGGGGTACATTTACTGCTCTGGGTAAATCCTCTGAGGTGAGAGTATCAGTCATTTGAAAAAGGGAGAGACTAAGGCACGGCAAAATGACTTAACTTGCAGATGGTGGAGCCAACACTGAATTACTAATAAAAAAAAAAAAAAGCTTGTCTTATTTGCTATAGTTCAATCCCAGCCCCACTGCTTACCTTACTGCTTACCTACCTCAGTTTCTCCATTTGTACCATGAAGTGCTGACCTCACAGGATTCTGGAGGACTAAATGAAGTAATGCAAGCAAAGCCTTTAGAACTGGACCTGGCACAAGGTAGATACAAGTAGTTATTCACCATGATTATTGACAAAGTCTTCCCCAGATCTGTCATGTCCCACATCCTCTCAACAACCTTGTTGCCATGGCTATTTGCAGACCAGGAAACTGGGGCTTAGAGAGGAGTAGTATTGGGGACAAGGGTGACCCTTGGTCTGTTGTGTTCCCCCTCAGGAACCAGTGATGACCCGTTCCAGGACTTGGAAGGGCGAGAGGGCTCAGAGGCCGTGGCGGAGCACCAGTTTTCAGACCTGGAGGACTCGGACTCAGATTCAGACCTGGACGAAGATGAGGATGAGGAGGAGGAGGAGAGCCAGGACGAGCCTTCTGGAACGTCCTTGGAGGCACCCCCACCAGGCCCACCAGACTCCTCGCCCGTTCAGGGCCCTCAGCCCCCAGACACCGCCTCTGGTGACCAGGCCACACAGGGCAGCTCTGTCTCAGAAGTCAAGCCCTTGGTAGCTGGCAGTTGCTCCACATCCAGCCAAAGTATCCTGTGCCTCCCCTGGCTGGGACCAGCCCCTTCAGGCCCCATGGAGAAGGACACAGGCTTGGCCCTGAGCCCCAAGACCACGTCCCCAAGAGGGTCATGGTCCCCAAGCAAAGAAACGGCCAGCCGCCCACCGCTCATCCACAAACACTCACTAACCAAAAGTGACATGTCTCCCCAGCAACATTCACCGGCCCGGGAGTCACAGGCCTCAGCCCCAAGCCCGCCTGGCACCCAGATAGGCCCTCATCCTTGTGGGTCTCCAAGACTCGAGCTGTCTCCTCTCACCCGCCGCCCCCTGGGAAGGGAACTGCCCCCTGGAGTGCATCTGCCCCCGGAACGCGAGCGTGCCACAGACCCAGGCCCCCCCCGACATTCGCCCACCAGGAGATGGTCTCCGGGCCAGACTAAGTCACCGCCACCATCAGCGCTGCCAGGAAAGTGGGCCTTGGCCGGGCCCGGCAGCCCCTCGGCGGGTGAGCCCGGCCCAGGCTCGGGGCTGGCCCCGCGGGCTCTCTTCCTGCCCGTGCCTCTACCTCACAAGCTCCTCGGCAGAAGCCCCGAGACCTGTGCCTCCACATGGGTAAGTGCCTGCCCCAGCGCAACCGTGTCAGTTCTCACCCATGCTTGGGCAGTGGGGGGGACTCCTGGCGGGACCCCGCAAGTATACTTCTCAAGGCACCCTGCTGCACCTAAACAGCCCTGCCGGTTTAGTGGTCACGTGTGATAGCAGATGCTGGCAGGCACAATGCTGGGTGCCTGAAAACAGTTAATTTCACCTCAAAAGCAGCAGAGCATGGACTCTAGAACTGGGCTCCCCGGGATCCAGTCCGGGGTCTACCACTTCCAAGTAGTATGGCCTTGAATGTGGGGGTAAATACTTGTTCCATGCTCCTCTGACCCCAACCCCATCCTCCTGTGTGCTTTGAGCCACTGGTAGACTTAGCCACAACCGTCACACCTCCCACATCTGTCACCAGCACATCAGAGACACCACAGCCCATACCAGCCCTGTCCAGCCATCAGCACCCTCACTGTCGCCATCACCCAGGCCACCTCTGCCATCTTGACACTCCACCATGCCTTCGCTGCCGCCCACCAGCTTCATCAGTGTTGTCATATCACCATAACTGTTGTCACCACCATCCCCGTCACTGCCATCGACGGCATCACGGTCACCACCAGTGACCCCAGCACTGACATCACCACCCTTATAGCTTACCTTTACCACCCAACATCTTACTGTCACCACATTGTCAGGACCCAACAGCACCTTCACCACCAGGAGCATCGGCGCCATCATTCAGAGGCCAGCTGTGAGAGGAGCGTGATCTAGGAATCTCTGCTTGATTTGTAACTTTGGGTCATGTTAAAATTCCTGGAGGCAGGAGGTCAGGAGCCTGGAGTAGGAGCTCATGGCCAATGCTAACACTGGGTCAAAATCACTGTAGGAACGGGAGAGGTGGTGAGCCGAGAGAGATGGCCCTGCTCATGGGGCCAACAGAACCCTGTCTGGTCAGGGCAGCGCCTTCCTCTGGAGATAGGCCTGCTGGCCGGAGGCAGTGAGACCATGAGGGCTGAGTATGCTGGGGGGGCTGGGGGCTGGGGGGGTGGGTAGGACTAGCCTGTCCCAGAGAGTGCAGCCAGCAAGGGGTGGCACCATGGGCAGGGAGCTGGGCCACCGGTTCAGGCACCAGCTGAGCTGGGACTTCCTCTGTGACCCTAAGTGCCTGTTCCTCACCTCTAGACCTCAGGCTCTCCCGGGGCCCAGCTCGTAACCCCAGCCTTACCCTGTCTTGTTTTTGACTCCAGCAGAAGGTCGAGTCCCGAAGTCCCTCCTGCTCACCTGGCCCTGCTCATCCTCTCTCCTCCCGAACCTTCTCCGCCCCCCACGACTTCCACGGCCACTCCCCATCCCGGACAGAGGAGAACATCTTCAGCCACCTGCCCCTGCACTCCCAGCACTTGACCCGTGCCCCGTGCCCCTTGATTCCCATCGGTGGGATCCAGATGGTGCAGGCCCGACCAGGGGCCCACCCTCCCCTGCTGCCGGGCCCCACTGCGGCCTGGGTCAGTGGCTTCTCAGGGGGTGGCAGCGACCTAACAGGGGCCCGGGAAGCCCAGGAGCGAGGCCGCTGGAGTCCCACCGAGAGCTCGTCTGCCTCCGTGTCCCCCGTGGCTAAGGTCTGCAAGTTCACACTCTCCTCGGAGCTGGAGGACAGGGACTACCCCAAGGAGAGGGAGAGGACTAGCAGGGGCCTGGGCAGACCTCCCGACTGGGAGCCCCGTGTGGCTGAGGTGCCGGCAGAGCCCACACACAGCCTCTGTACCCCGCCCGAGGCCTTGCCCTGGCCACCCCGGGGCCACCGGCCAGAGTCCTGGAGCCCCCGCTTGGAGTCACCACACACGGTGGCTCACCCCAAGGCCTCTGCCATCCCGCCGCTGGACCGAAGCAGTTCCGTGGGCTGCCTGGCCGAGGCTTCCTCCCGCTTCCCTGCCCGGAGGAGGAGGAACCTCTCTGGGGAACCCAGGACCAGTCAGGGCTCCCCCGAGCCCTCAGGAAGTGGGGAGCCTGGGGCATCTCCACACCAGCCGGAGTATAGGGGCTCCCCAAACACGTAGCCTCTCTCCGGCCGCTTCGGCACCTGGCTTCCGGTGTTCGGCAACAGACATTTCCAGACAACTTCCTTCCTCAGTTCGTCTTGCTCCCATGGGCTCCCTCTCATCTGTCCATCTGTCCAGGCAGCTTCTGCGCAGCTCCCATCTGTGATAGCGTCCCACGTATGCAGTTACCTGTGCCTTTTTCTAGACCTTTTGTTGCTTGAAAAGAAACAAAACACAAACACACACACATATACACACACAAAACCCACAAGGAGTTTGAGGCTGTGAATATTTTGTGCTTTTTTGAGAAAGGGCGCAGGTGGGGGCCTCACCCTCAGCCGCGGAAGCTGCGGCCACCGACCCCCGAGGCTGGCCAGGGGCAGCCCATCGCTGAGGGAGAGGGTATGCACTGAGGGAGGAAAAAAGCAAGAAATTTTAAAATATCTATCATTAAATATGAAAGCAAGCTCTCCTCTGTACAGATCTTTATGGTTCCTATTTATTGCCGCTGTATCCCACCCCAGATAGTGGTCAGCCCTCTCGCTAGCAGAAAGCCCAGTGGCCCCAGGCAGGGGGACACAACCTAGGCAGGAAGACCCCACACGCCTCTATGGGCAGGCTCAGAAAAATCCAACTTTCTTCCCCCCAAGAAAAATTTTGAGAATGTTGCCTTTCCTAGGACTTCATCAAAAATAAGAGATGAAGGTAGAAGGCGGGAGCTGGCTGGTTCCCTCAGGGCTCCCGAATGGCCAGATGTCGGAGTCATGGACCCATCCTGGCGTTTGGCCGGTGGGCTCCTAGCCCCCACCCACGACCTCCCACGGCACCCCTGCTCCGAGCCCCTAACTGGGAGAGGAGCCCTCGGTTCATCCCCTGGTTCTTGAGCACCTGACTTGGGCCTCGCTGTCTGGACGCCAGCCATGGGCTGCGTTCCCTGTTCTAGAAGTTGCCGGCAAGGCTGAAGTGGCAGGATCCAAGCCCAAGGGTGCAGATCAAGGCCTGCACCTGAGGCCGGGGCTCAGGTTTCATGTCCTATTTGGTCCCTGGGATACAAAGGGCGCTGTTTCCTCCTGAGCTGGGCGTTTGCAGGGATCTGGGTCCCTTTTTTGCAGCAGAACGGGCCCCCTGCCCCCACCCCACACACTGCACCCAAGGATGTGCTGACACCATGCCCGGTGGGAACCGCCCATGTCTATTTGTGGGCTTCAATCCCTTTTAAAAAATAAAATAAAATTAGAGAGAGAGGGAGGGAGAAGATGATGTTTGATACTTGCCCCAGCATCTTCGGATTCTCTGGACCTTGAGAATTAGTTCTTAGTCCTAAGTCATTTGAATTCTTCTACAAAGCAGCCCGTACAAGCCTGTGTCTCCTTCCTCATCCCCATCGCCACCTCTGAGAAGTTTCCCAGCGTTTCCTGGGGCAAAAATCTGCTCTGTAAGAAAAATATAGGACCAGAAATGAACATTCCCAAGTGTATTTACCCTGCCCTGGGAGAGGTGGGCTTTTCCCCAACCTTCCAGAAATTATATTCTTTATCCTACAGGGGAGAAAGCACCGGGGCCATGTCACGGCCCACCCAGGCTGGGAGCTGATGCCACTCTCTGGCTGCGGGGCCTCCTGAGCTGGTCTCCAGTCCTCTCCCTGGTTGTATATCACATGCCTTCAGGGGGCTCCTGAGCTGCTGATGCTGTCAGACAGGACATAAGAAGGTGGGGAGTGTTGGGGCGCTTCCAGGAACCCTGGGCCTAACTCCCTGTCCTGCTAGTTCAGGACTTCCCCTGCTTGACTCCTGCTGGGTGGGCAAATCGGCCACAGGTCCAGTCTTCAGCCAGACCACCTTGTCTACTTCCCTTAGCCTCTCTTAGAGCTAAGACAAAAAGAGGGCCATGGGAAAAGGCCTCCCAGCGGGGCGGCTGGGCTCCAGGTGCTAGGTGCGGTTACCCAGCTGTGCCTGGCTCTCTGACCCAACATCTAGGGCCCACATCCATCCTGACAGCCAACCCAGCCTTGACCATATTGGCACTGTCTGGCAGGGAGGAGGTGGGAAGGAGAAGGAGCCTGAGCTTCCCCTACCCTGGCCTTTCAGCCCTAGCCTACCGGGCTGCCCAAGTACTGGGCTCCTCAAGCCCTGAAGCCTGGCTGCTGGACTGAGGGCATTGCTTCAGCCCGGATTTGTGATATTCTGGGAAGATCTTCCAGCCTCAGACCAACAAAGCAGCAGACTGGGGGTTTGCTGGACTAGCCCCTCACCTTGAGGGCGATCATGCCCCTCTGCCTGGTCCTGTACCTCCTGGACATGGGTCCCCTGTGCTCCCTCCTGGGAAGCCCAGTCATCCTAGGCCAGCAGGGGAAAATCCTCATGGTCACTGGGGCCCACAGGCACAGCAGGGGTAGCAGAGGCCAGGAGCCACTGGAAGACAGGGACACACTGCACAGAGTCTGGCCTAAAGGCTGCGGCCCAGCACAGGTGTCCTGGGGAGGGAATCCATGCCACCAGCCTGGGCTGGGTGGCCCAGCACAGCTCTAACCTGTCTGCCAGTCTCTTCCTGCTCCCCAGCACAGAGCCCCCGCCCACATACACCTTCATAACTTGGGGGGTGCTCCATGCCTTGTCACAGTCCCCTGCCCTGCTCTCAACCACTCCGGAGTTTCCAGTTTGCCTGTGACACCATCACCCTGTTGAGATGTGCAGATGGGCTGTCTTCCATGCCGGCCCTCTCTGTCCTTGGGCGTTGGCAGTGGAGGAGGAGTCAATTTGCTGAGGTGTCAGAGCCAACCCTCTCCTCCTGCCAGGGCTTCCAAGCCACCTGTCCCTCACACCCACCCTGCGGGACGCCCTTCACCCTTGGCAATCTCTGGGTCATTCTGGGAACTCACCCCCTTCCTCTCCAGGGGTCCTCTCCCCACCTGCTCCCTGCTGTCCCTGATGTTCTCCTACCAACAGCTGAGATCTGGTCTGACCACTGAGCCTCTCCAGGAACCTGACAGCAATGAACTGCCTGCTCTCCCCCCTCCATGACCTCCAGCTTCTAGACCCAGAGTCCCTCTGTCTCCCTTTGTGAAAAAAATATGAAAGAATTAGCTTCCAGATCCTTCTAGCCCCTTCTCCATTCTCAACCAGCCCTTTCATACTAGAACAAGCAATACATCTGAGCTGAATTGCTCTCTAGACCTTTCTCTAGACGAACCCTCTTAAAACAAAATTTCTGCCTGGGCCACCATCCTTGGGGACAGATCAACAGCAGTGACCAGGGGAGAAAGTTCCAGAAGGCCTGTTCCACAAATTCTGCTTCTGTGTCGTGAATCCAGTCCGCTTTCCATTAGAAAACCGCTTCGGCACTTAAGATCACTTTACTAAATCTAGTGTTAAGAAGAGAAAAGAAATGTGTAGGCAAATGTAAGATACATGCTCTCTGTAAGATAAATATTTGCCTTTTTTTTCTAAAAGGTGTATGTATTCTGTATGTGACATTGTCTGTAGAGAGTTTCTATGTTCTTAAATGGCAATACATTCCAAAAATTGTACTGTAGATATGTACAGCAGCCACACTGGGATGGGGTAGTTTTGCCTGTAATTTTATTTAAATTCCAGTTTCTACACTTGCATCTTGCAATGTCAATATGGTATATAGCAGTGCAAAAGAGAAAAAAAAAAAAAACTCAACAAAAAATCCACACAGGTCTAAAGCACAGAGTCTGGCGTACAAAAGGAGAAAAATGCTCAGTATTGATGTGTGACCTTTGTTGTAAATTACATCTGTACTGTGAATGAGAAGTTTTTACAAGTATAATAATTGCCTTTATTACAGCTCTGGCTATGTCCAGCTGGAGGATATTTTTTAAAAAAACTACAACAACAAAAAGCAAGCAAAAAAAAAAAAAAAAAAAAGCACGTTGGAATAAATTTGAAGATCCCAACATAGCCCTGCGTGCCTGACTCCTAGTTTTTCTTCAGGGTGTAGAATGTCAGAGTTGGACATTTGGCCTCTCACATATTTGTTTAACTACAGAGCTACAGAGCAAACAGGCCCAGAGAAGGTAAGTGACCAGGCCACAGTCACACAGCCCAGGGCTCCTGTGTGCCTCCCCACACCTACTTCTAGGTCTGGCACCAGGTACGTCGCCATGCGGCTTGGGGTCTGCATTCATTTCTCAGCATATGAGGGTAATGTGAGGTGGTGGCTTTCCAGGGTGACTAACAGAGCCTTGAAGAGAGTAAGCCTGCAAATCTCTTAGCATCTCTCAGTGCACAGGGTGCTGGGTTACAAACATGAAAAAGATTAGGTGGGTCCCCACCTTTTGTATTCAACCCCGATGTGCTGGGAGCCAGTGAGACACCAGTCCATGGATATAAGATCGAGCCAACCTGACACAGTCTCACCCTGGAAGAACTTCCATTCTAATCGGAGAGACCATCCTTAAGCAAATAATGATGTCATTAATACTCAGTCACAGCCTTGACTGCTGTGGGGAGAGAACAAAAGCTCTGGTGCAGAATGGGTGTGACTCACCCTGGAGACCTTTCCTGGAAAACTCCTAAGGGCCTGTGAAGAAGAGGAAGTCACCAGAAGGCCCAAAGAGGTGGATGGACAATCAAGGGGTCCTTGGGGTAAAATGCTGCCTGGAATTCAGCATTAAGAACCTAAGAGGGTCTACTTATTTCCATGACAAGGAGTCTTCTCTGAGCTTGGGAAAAGCTGGCCAAGCAGTGCTGGGCATTGTGCCCCTGGCCTTTGTGGGAGCTACTGGGAGTCGAATGGGGCTGAGTGGAAGGCGATGGTGATGGTGAAGAGTAAGGAGAGGGTGGGGGAGGGGGAAGTGGGCAGCAATCTGGGCACCTTCCAGGGGCCTGGGGTAGAGGAGAGGGGAGCTGGGTGGTAGCTAGAGGGGGCATGAGGTCTAGGGAAGAGGGAGCTGAGTGTGTTGGGGGCTGATGGGAATGATATGGTCGGAATCAAGCTGCTCAATTAAGAGGAGATGCAGACACCTCTCCCACTGTGTGACCCAAAGAGAAGTCAGTGTGTCTGTTTATCGACAGCAAGTGGACGGCCTTACAGCATGGGAATTTTCTCTGTGAAGTAGAGTGAGGTCACCTGCTGAGAGGGGAGGAGGAAGCTGCAGGGTGGGAAGACAGGAGACATCAGAAGGCGTGAATAAACCTTCAGTAAACAGGAGAAAGCTGGGGCCTCCCCGGTGGCGCAGCGGTTGAGCGCTGGGTTGCGAAGCTGCCCGCAGCCTCTTCAGCGCTGGTTCGATCCCCGGCTGCTCCCCGGCCACCGGGGGAGGGTCCCACATGGCGCGCAGACCTCTCCTGCTGCCCGCTGCTCCCCTCAGCAGTGTGCTTCGGTCCTTCTGCCTGCTCTGCTCCCCGCTCTGGCTCTGGTGAATTCTCTCACTCTCCTGTGATTCTGACTGTACCCAGTGCTTGTATGAATAAATAAATCTTTAAAAAAAACAAAACAAAAAAACAGGAGAAAGCCACCCAGGAAACAGAAGGCACTGGGCAGTACCAAGGCTGGTGCTGCTTCTGCTCAGTGTGTGGTCTCTTTTGCCTGTTGGGCATGGAAAGGACAGTGAGGTATAGTCATCCAGGGAGGGGCGTTCGGCCAGGCCATGGGACAGAAGGATGCAGCGAATGGAAGGTGGCACATGAGGGGTGAGGTTATAGGGCAGTGAATCCAAGGGCTAGGAAGGAAACAAACAGGAGGGATGGATATTAGGGAGAGGCCAGTAGTCAAGTGACAGGGACTATGGATAAAAATAGAGAAGGGAAGGTTGTGAGTTGACTTAGCTCATTACTCCAGAAATGAGACAATAGTTGTGAAAGCAGTGTGGGCCCTACGTAAGGGTGCTGCATGAAAGAGAGCACCCCTTCAGATGAAGAGACAGGAAGCCGGTGTCTAGGCTACTGAGTGTGTCACGCAGGTGGCAGGTGAGCTCACAGCTGATGGATCCAGCCAGGAGCCAGAGTGCATCCGTTAGGACCGGTGTCGTCATGCTACAGAAACAAGTGACCCAGAAACTCAAGTTCAGTGCAACAAGATCTGACATCCCCCTCCAGTTGTTCCATGTGGATCAGCAGGAGAATTCTCATTGCATCCCCTGGAGACCTAGACCATAGATGCTCTGAACCATGCTGTGGCCTCAGGCAGAGGGAAGGAGGCAGCCATGCTACCTGGCACCGGCCACTGAA